TTCATAATTACATGAGCAAAGTTTACCTTTTTAGTGTATTTTAGTGCACAATTGTCCATTAAAAATTATCATATGTTCAAACCTACACACACACACACACACGCACACACACAGATTTTATTTCTACTCAAATAACATATTTTTCAAACTGTGGTAAATTTGATCCATCCATTGCATAGTAATAATTATAATTTCACAATTTTTATTATCATCTTTAAACAGCTCTTTAAAACGATGATATTTGCATGTAATAGTTTAGAATCGTAATATATATGCAACAGTATATTATTATCCCACAGAAGTTTTAATTTTTTGCAAATTCTCTTGTGCAGATTAAAAATTCGCGTTGGAACTGTAGGAACGAATCTCAAATATTATTGTGTATGCAAACTGTAATTAATGTGGCATCTGAATTTCTGGAATACTTTAAAAACATGATATTAATAATCTATTTATTTTGTTTTTTATTTGCATATGCGTTTATTAAATAACACGCCGAAAAACCATATATAACACATGCCACATAACGAGAACATGCATTCATAGTTCGTCCGCATAATGGCATATAGCATCCTTATGTGATGAAAAAGTAGTTAATAACGTTCGGAGTAACATTGAATTGAAAGAAACAAGTAAATAATCAATTGCATTTATTTAATTAACTTCTCAATTGATGCCTCAAATAAATAAAGGAAGGCCCAATAAATAACAAGAGACAGGAATTAATTATATCGCTTGGCGATATGAGTACGCATAATATACACATAAGTATTTTTAATTTATTATGTCACATTCACAATAAGAAAAATCATAGTGTCCTTCCAATGTCCATTGTACTATCCCTGTGCTAGTATAAATACAATTTGAGAGTATCCATCGGGAAAGAAAAGTGTAAGATGTTCTCTATTACTTACACTTATCCTGTTAATTGCTCCGATTGTGTCAGCATCCGTAATCAGTAGCCCGTGTTAAAAAAGTTTTCAGCCTCGGCATAAATTAATATTCGTAACGATACACATGTTCATATAGTATGTATTTGGATCACCCCGCGTTTCTAACCAACTCTATAGATTCTAATCGCTGAATCCTCTCCTGAGGATTAAGCGATCCTTTCTAAATTGTCAGAAAAGACATGGTTGAAAGGTCTGCCGCGGAGAAACATTATCGGCAGGCATTACGATGGCACTTTGACCAGTGATTACAAGACATCGCCGCAAGGACGATTCGATCGGTGATCGTATACTTTGATCGCAAATGAGTTTTTCTTTTTCCATTATTTGATTATCACACTAATAACTTTGGGAAGGACTTCTATCCGTGAAGAAGTTTTTCAGAATGAAAACCTGTCCTACAGCGATGGTCAGGATACAAAGTGTCTCCATAACTGACCACCAGAGCACTCGCTCATTGAGCTCTTCTGCGCGTTTGCGGCCCTGAGCTTCACGTAAGCGGTGATGCGTCTGATAGTCCAAAATGCTGATTAGATTTTTATGTACTTCTTGGGCAGAAGATTCCATCTGTTAAAAGAACCCGCATCAGGTATCACTAATTTTTATTTATGTAAATAAATCTGTCTTGTAACTTACCTGAGTCATGACTGTAACATGTTCTCCAAGACCAGGAAGGGGCAATTCATCGCCAACTTGGAAATCCATATATACCAGCTTGTGCGAGTATGTAGAAAACTCGTTGCTAAAGCAAGCCTTATATATTCCTGACATAGTTGGTATAAAGGAGTGTGAATCAAATTGTGTTTTTACTTGGCTATAGATAATTTCTTTATTTGGTGCTTCTAAAGTTACATCTACATCATACTGGCCACCTGTAACTACCTGAAAAATACAAAAGCATATTCATCATAAATGAATTGCTTTAAGAAGCACAAAGTGGTCTACTTATACATAAAGTATTTACAAATCAATGAAATAACTTCTAAACTAAAATATAAAATAAAGAAAAATTGCAGCATCAAAAAAATATTACCGCTTCCTATAAAATTTCTCTAGAAAGGAGCAACTTGCACAAGATGCATGTTTTAACTATATCTCTCCTCTCTTTCTCACTGGAAGATACAAGATACGAGTGCAACTAAAATAGACTTATTAATAAAGTGAAACTTTAATCGCGTTATTCGTTATTTACTCTCTGTTCGTGTTATTTCTAGTTTGCTTCATTCAACTTTGAAGCTAAGCAGACGGATAAATGTGGCATACTGCGCCGCGAACTCCGGCCTCGGATGCGCTACGAACGATAATAGCGACGTGTCATCGTGACGCGTGATAAGAATATGTAGCGTTATCGGGAATTGGTATCTGATAGCATTGTGCACCTGAAACTCCAACGTAGATGAGACGTTCTTTTCGATCTCTTGATAAAAACACTCTTTGGCATTGTCGGCCAGTTCGAAGGTTAGCTCGACGCCATCCGTGAGTAGGAGTGCACCAAACAGCGAAGCAAGCAATAGCCAGACCGACCAGCAATCCATTCTTATTATTTTTCGTTTATTCGTCGACGCTCACGCGGCTGTCTCGTCACTAATCTGTGCGCATTTAAAATTCCTTTGAGCCTCGAGAAAATTCGGGCATAAGAGCGCAATCACTTTCACTTTTTTTCCACCGATACCGGGCGACCCGACCGCAGATGATCTCAAGCAAACAGCACAAACAAACGATCCTAACGTGGCCGGATGCCGGATGTCGACTCGTGTCGACTTGTGTCGACTGCGCACGACGTAACCGCGTTCGGTAAAGCCCATGGCGCATGCAAAAACGTAAGGTCGTAACACGTAAGCAGTTATGCGGGGTCTACAATAGAAGTCGTAGCAGTCGTAGGGTCTTAAGTCGTAGAAAATTGACCAATCACAATCAAATATGAGAAGAATAATCAACTGTGATTGGTCAACTTCTTACGACTTAAAACACCTATTGTAGATCCGAAGTGAGACTTAAAAACTATTGTAGATCCGGGGTAAGGAAATCGCGAAGGCCATCACACGTACAAAAATTTTAGTCGTTATCGTAAAGCCGTAAGCAAATCGACCAATCACAGTCGAGTATTTAAAATCTCGAGATCTCAATTTTGATTGTGATTGGTCGATTTGTATGCGACCTTACGATTCCCACTAAAATTTTTGTACGTGTGATGGCCTTCGCGATTTCCTTACCCCGGATCTACAATAGTTTTTAAGTCTCACTTCGGATCTACAATAGGTGTTTTAAGTCGTAAGAAGTTGACCAATCACAATTAAGTATGGGAAAAATAATCGACTGTGGTTGGTTAATTTCTTACGGCTTTACGGCTTAGGACCTCTTAAAACAGGGTTGTGGACCTAGCCTAATGGCCATTTTACAATAAGCCATTAGTCATAAATCAGAAATTAGAAGCTGGAAATTGACGACTGTGATCAATTTCAGCTGTGGTCAATTTCCAGCTTCTAACTTCTGATTAATGGCTTATTGTAGAATGCGTGTAACCCCGGCTCCACAACAGGGTTTTAAGCCTTAAGCCATAAGAAATGGGCGAATCACAATCGATTATTCCCCTCGGATTTGACTGTAATTGATCAGTTTCTTACGGCTTAAATCTTAAAACACCTATTGTAGAACTGTGATTGGTTCATTTCTTACTCTTACAGCCTCATCCATTACTGATACTGCCATTGTAGACGACGCATTAATTTTTCGTAGATATTCGTAGTGAGACGTAGAGTGGCATTGTTTAAAGGCGGGGGATTTCTATCTCTTTTGAGATTAATCTCCTTGCCACAAGCTTTCATCCACTTTGCCGCAATGTCACTGTCCTTTGGAAACAAAAACAACTTTTATTTTTTTGCTTTCGCATTTTCACTATGATTTTTACACCCCTTAACGCATGGCACCGTTTTTTACAACATATTACAAGTGAAAAAAATGTTGCAACCTTTATGTGATCGGCTGTATACATACCTCACGAGCACGCCTCTTCTTTACTACACTATGACCAACCTTCAGTCTCAAATGAAGTTAATTAAGATTTTATTTGACATAGTATATTTGTTTTTTTTTTTTGAACAAATAATAAATATATCATTTTTCAAATTTTCACAAATGTTTTTATTCGTTTTTTATAGAAATTATTATTAAAGAAAATACATTTATAAGGTTCTTATTTGTATACTTTCCAATGCGCAATTCAATTATGTAGGTATTATTGATCCTCTTGATGTCTGTCTTTATTTTATTGTTGTATTGTCATAAATTTGGACTATTTTTATATTTAAATACAATATAAATACATTATTTTATAATCTATTATATATATATAATTCTTTTATATTATAATATACTATATAATATGAATGTAAATATTTAATTCTATACGCATGCCTAAATTGGTTGGAGGATGTAACATAATAATGAATTAAATACATATATTATGTGATAAAATATATAAAACTCCTAACATTATCTTTCTTACAGCATTGGAATATTCTTATAAGCTTTAAATATATTCAGTATAATACTACTGATTTGTAAATATATAGAGAATAATTTTAAATATAAAAAATATTTTTTTCTTTAAAAAATTTAAAAAATTAATTTTCCTTTCTGTGTTCGTTCGATAATTCAAGCTGTGATTTTTTGGATGGAAATATCACAAACAGAGATAGCTGAGATATACTGAGCATGAAACCAATTGCATTCTGAAACTATTAATGTATATTATATTACATATAATATTATCAATATGTAATATATGTTTTAAAATTATCTTTTATAATTATATTGCAAAGAATACTTACAATAATAAAAACATTATCGATAATAAGGCCGTACAATAGCCACTGAAATGAAACTAATGTACCCATAAAGATAAGTGGGAATGGAAGAATTTCTGTGTTTTTCGTTTTTATAACATTTTTCTAAACAAAAAAAAACAAACAATATTTTAATTATATTATCATATTATAATTATGATTAAAATATACATATTTAAAAAAAATTAAAATACAGGGTGTTCCATAATTCATCTAACAGTTCGTGAACAGATAGAACGGACTAAACTGAGACGGAAAGTCCTCTACCATTTTACAATTTTCGCAATAGTTGACGAGATATTAATCTCTAAAGATTACCGAATACGCGCATCCGTCCAGCCTTCTTCTTCTTCTTATTGGTTAATGGCTCCTGTCTCCCATGGATTAAGGGAAGATTCTAATCAAAAGGCCCGAAAATTAACGTAATTTCATGATTTTTTTTTGAGCGAACGTAAATGTTTTTTGAAAAAACTTTTTATTGCATTTATTAATACATATTTGAAAATATATAACATCGAAATCGGTTAAGTCGTTGAAGCGGAATCGTGTACGGCGCGCAAAAAAAAGTTGTTTCGAGAAAAACGCGTCTAAAGTTTGAGGAAGAAAAAATCGTAAGTAATGTTTGTTTTTTGACACTTACATCTAATCAGCTATTCCAGCACCATACAGGGTTCCTTCCTCATCCTCGAAGAGCATGTTTTGCTGCACTTGGGCGCTCATTTTTTCAATTCTGGCCTTTTTCATCAACTCTGACTGTTTCGCGTTCGCTGACTTGACGCGCTCTTCGTCAGTCTTCGCAGCGAAGTTTCTGCTGTTTGTCCCGATTACGATTCCCAACGTCTGCATGGTTTTTAATATAGATGAATAGCCTTCATTAAAAATGCCGGAAGCTATGTATGCTGCTGTTCTGATGGTTTGTTCGCCACAATGAAGGTGTTTGGGGACCAGTTTCCACAGACAAGCGTTGAAGCTTTCGTTGTCATTTTTGCGCTTCTGCACATGACCTATACATTCCTTCTTATGAACGGTAAGGTCGCTATAAGGATTACAGTTGAGGAGAGCTTGGAAAGTTTTCGTGTCACCGTCGCCGATATATGTAGCATATTTCACGCCGTGCGATTCTGATCGACAAAACATTTCTTTCATACAATCTACCTCCATCTTACCAGCACTTCCAGTGTGATTTATGCTGCAATGTTGTTCATGAGTATCATGCCAGATATCGTACTCATTAGTTCCTTTTTTGCTGGCCCAGTTGCTGCTTTGGCAGAATGACGACTTTACAACAAAATCCAACACTTTGTGCGTATATTTTCCGATCAGCGTTGCAATTCCAAATAACGACGAAAAGCCACGTCTTTTCCACGAACCGTCGCCCGACACGCTCAAATGTGTTTCTTCATTTCCCGCCTCCGCGTTCTTCTGTCTTTTTTCAGCAATCGCTTTACGTTGTATAACTTCGAATGTACTCTGCTGCCTCGAGCAGATTAGTGATAAATGCATAGTACGTACCATTTCCAAAGCCTGAAGACAGTTCCATTAGGACTTTTTTTAAACAAAAAGTATTTATCGACCGTAATCCGAGTCCCAGAATCCGCATAACAAACATCAAACGGCGATTTATTTCGTATGCACCATTTACTAAAGGACTCGAAGAAACGCGTTGTTTATCATTGCACTTGCACTTGATTACTAAATTAAAACCAAGTCCACGGTCACACGTACGAGAAAATGTCACATCACCGTCACATTTTTTACATTTTAAACACTGAGACAAAAAGGTGAAAACAGTCAGAAAATTTATAATAACGTTATTATGGCCAACATCAATTTCAATATCATCGTAACTCGCGTCTTTAATTTTTTTCGCTGAAGTACTAGCATACTCAGTTTCTGCTTCTATTTTATCGGGATTATAATTGAATTTCTTCTTTCGAGGCCGACATGGTCGAGCAGTTCCCACTGATTTTCGTGTGTTCGGCATTTTTGAAACACTGTTACTTGCCCCACGTTCGAAACGCAACTGAAATACGTTACTGTAAATAGAAGTATAGAACGCACGTCCGACCGAGGGTATACGAGCACATAATAGACAGGAATGTACAGGAATTCGTTGAGACAGGCACAAATTTGCTACCTGCAGTAGATAAACCGCTTAGGCGGTGAAAAATGCCCGTCCCTCGAAGCCGCTCCGAGCGCGCGTTTATACCTGTTTTTCGGCCGACGCACTCTCTCGTCTAATACGCTATAACTCCTAAAATGAATTACATAGGGAAATATCCTTTTGGCTACACATTTTCAAGACCCTAAATTTTTTTTTTCGATTTTGACTAGAACCTCCCCTTAAGCAGAGACAATACGGCCAGATCCCGTTGTAGGGTTGAGCTCATACGTAGATTGGCAAGCAAAGATGGTCTATTGGTTTCGACGTTGCGTGGCGAGTAGAATCGCCACTGAGAACGGAGCCTAAAAAGGCTTTTACTCTCATATTCGCTTCTCTCACTCTCACATCCGGTTTCACGTCATGGCAGAGCCAATCACGGATCGAGTCGGCATTGACCAATCTCTACTTTTAGGATCTCTACACCCGGCCATCCCCGCTCTCCGCGGCCCGCGCGCCTTGCAATCCGTTATCCGATCGGTGGGCTGTACATTCGGCAGCAGTAGGCCGGGCGAACGCGCGTATTCGGTAATCTTTAGAGATTAATATCTCGTTAACTATTGCGAAAATTGTAAAATGGTAAAGGACTTTCCGTCTCAGTTTAGTCCGCTCTACCCGTCCACGAGCTCTGTCAGATGAATTATGGGACACCCTGTATATATAGAAAACAAGATCTGCTCACAAGATGCGCAAGAGGAGCTGCAATTAAAAGAAGAAGAAGTACTGTAACCACAATACCGAATCTAAATTCAACATTTGCTGGATGTTCCATTTGTGCATAGACAAGAAAAATTGCAACAAAGGTTGTTACTTTATATATTAATTTAAGCACCTCCTCCTAAAAAAAAAAAAAACATAATAAAGTGTCAATCAATTACAAATCAAACATGTTTCAATAGTATCAAATGAAGTACACACCGTATTTGGTGCATAATAATAGTAAATTATCATATAAATCATATTTGTCAATAAACCAAATATATTAACATTTATCATGTTAGAATCACCTAACATCCAAGCGTATCGAAGCATCAATATACATCTAAAAAAATAGTTCATTTAGTTACATATATTTCAATTAACTTTTAATTTTCTTAATATTATTTTATTAGTACATGAATATAATGCCACAGTTAAAGTGTGAAATTTAGTAAATGTTTACACTTACTAGTCAATGTAAGCATTTACATAAGATTTTAGCAAGAGTATCAACTGAATATAAAAAAATGTCTGCTATTACTAGTAAATGTATTCATTTACTAGACAATGTATACATTTGCTATGACACGTTAGTAAAAGCATATTTTAAGTCATCAGTCACAGTAAAAGTATAAATAAATGTATACAAAGAAGGCTCGATCGAGTCAATCAATGAACAATATAAAAACGCCCATTTGAGCCGACATCAGTTGTTCGGATGCACAGGAAACTATTTATTTTCATGTTAATATAACATACTAATACAATAATAAACGTTTCGACCTTATGATTTAGGTCCTTTTCAATATAAGAATTAAATCTAATTTGCATAATTAACGCTAAAACCCAGAAAATGACTTCCGGTCTTTGGCTTATTCCTCTTTATCCAAATGGCAATTAAGCTGTGTAACGGAGCCACATGAATATCAGAATTATCCATTATCAATCAAAAAATGATGTACAACTTATATAAAGTAAAGTAAACCCGGTTCGTGTACACTGTGTCAAACACATCGCTCATCAAATTGTCAGATTTGCTATGTAGACATTCAAAAAACAAAAAGAAATAAGAAAAAAGTAACACGAAACCTTAAGAGCAATATTAAAATCATTAATCTTATTTACAATCAACGATGTAATGAGAGTCAAATAATAAGTCACGCAGTTATTGAAATAAAAATAAATATGAGAAAACTGAGGGAACCAACCTCACGATTCCATAAACAATTCAATATATAGAGGGTCTAAAGAATATGTATCATTCTGTAAATTCAAACTATGTTTCTGTTGTTTTATAATATATGGATCATTTCCGAAATCAATCTTCTATTTAGCACTCTCTTTCCTCGTCTAATATCTTAACATTTTCCCAATCAAACTCATGCTGATGACTAAGTCTGTGTTCTGTTATTACAGAGTGTTGTGTCGTGTTCCAATTAATGTGATTCCTATGTTCATTTACGCGCGATTTTAAATATCTACACGTCTGTCCCACATATGATGCTTCACAATATCAGCAATCGATTTTATATACCACGTCTGTATGAGATAGCTTGGGTCGTGCGTCTTTATGACCCCTAATGAACTCCCTAAGATTATTAATCCCCTTATATGCCATGTGTATTAAGGAGTCTTTTTTAAAAAAATTTTTTATCTTTTCTGATAGAGATGGTATAAAAGGAACTGTAAAAAACTTGTGCTTAGGTTTATCTTTATTATTGTCAGTTATTATGCCTTTAAGTATATATTACACTGGTCTTTCCATTGTTAAAATTTTTTTTTCCGGAGAATTTAAGGCCGGAAGTCATTTTCTGGGATTTAGCGTTAATTATGTAAATTAGATTTAATTCCTATATTGAAAAGGACCTAAACCGTAAGGTCGAAACGTTTACTATTGTATTAGTATGTTATATTCACATGAAAATAAATAGTTTTCTGTGCGTCCGAACAACTGATGTCGGCTCAGATGGACGTTTTTATATTGTTCACTTCACTAATTGGCTGATTCTTAAGGCCATCACACGTACAAAAATTTTAGTCGTAATCGTAAGGTCGTAAGCAAATTGGCCAATCACAGTCGAGCGTTTAAAAACGCGAGATCTTAATTTTGATTGTGATTGGTCGATTTGCTTGCGACCTTACGATTCCGACTAAAATTTTTGTACGTGCGATGGCCTTAATGCGGGGTCTACAATAGAAGTCGTAAAATTGACCAATCACAGTCGAATATGAGAAGAATAATCAACTGTGATTGGTCAATTTTCTATGACTTAAGACCCTACGATCGCTACGACTTCTATTGTAGACCCCGCATAACGGTACGTCTTATGGTTACTGTTACGGAATGTGTGTGCCATAGCCTTTAGTATATGTCTACATCACTCGTAAACGTATACATTTACTAAGTAAAGGCCATCACACGTAAAAAAATTTTAGTTGTAATCCGTAAGCAAATCAGCCAATCACAGTCGAGCGTTTTAAAACCCGAGATCGTAATTTTGATTGTGATTGGCTGATTTGCTTGCGATCTTACGATTACGACTAAAATTTTTGTATGTGTGATGGCCTTAACACAAGCTTTGACTGTGACACATATATATATATACAGGGTGTTTCCAAATTAAATCGCAAAACTTCGGGAG